TGGGGAGCAAGTGTCGCTGGGGAGCAAGTGTCGCTGGGGAGCAAGTGTCGCTGGGGAGCAAGTGTCGCTGGGGAGCAAGTGTCCGGGGAGCAACTGTCGCGGGAGTAACTGTCTGGGGAGCATCATTTGGGATACCTTGTTAATTAGTGGTGTTTTGTGATGCCATACAATGCGAGTGATTAGTATACTGAAACTAAAATTTAAAACTAACGGGTAGCTTGTAATAAAAGATGGTCTCAGTATTTTGTTAACATCTTAAGCGTTATCTTATCGCTCCCGCTTTATTTTTTTATCAAGAGATTCACCGTCTGATTCTACAGAGATTGGTATATTTCACAGTAAAAAACACTTATCTCTCTTTCAACAACATCATCAGGCTTTAAAACAAGCATTACACGCAACTTTCAAAGTCTTCATTTTTTTCAATTTTTTTCTAAAATGTCCAGTTTCTCAATTGATCCTGTTACTTTGGGTATAATTTGTTCGCCATGCAAGTGATAAATTGATTCATTTCAATCAACGTACCAAAGACAATTTATTTTATTGCTGGATAAAGAATATGGCACGATCAATCATAATAAGACTAATCTAAGAACTGGATGTTTTCGGAAAAAATTAGAAAAAATAGAGATTTTCAAAGTTGTGTGTAGGGCTGTTTTTAAATCATGATGATGTTGAAAGAGAGATAAGTGTTTTTTACAGTGAAATATACCAATCTCTGCAGAATCAGACGGTGAATCATTCGATAAAAAAATAAAGCGTGAGCGATAAGATAGCGCTGAAGATACTAACAAAATACTGAGACCCTCTTTTATTACAAGCTACCCGTTAGTTTCATATCATCAACATACTTTCTGCTGTCTTTCTGCTTTTCGGACTTCAAAAGATGACAGCACTGCTGAAAAATGTATGTCTCCTAAAAAATTTAGCCATCCATACCGTTCCGTTTCATCAGAGGACTCCTCTCAAAAATGGGTTTTTCAGGATAGGCTATCTCACAAGAAATGGATTCGTTTGGGAGCCGATCCTTAGAAATTGGAAGTACTCTCTCTGGCCTACAATCCTACAAAAAAATTAGCGTGGGATCTCCAGAAATGGCTTGCACCGGCCGACATCTTTGAGAGGCATATATGAGATAGGTACGCCTCTTATATGAGTTTTGGCGTTCGATTTACAGCCTTATTCTATCTGTTAGATCTAGGTGATTTTGGATCCAGAACACGATTGTCATATTTGTCTCTCTTTATTCGAGAGTTTCTTCACAGAAGCAAAAGCGAAAATAATAATATTTAATTGGACATCTTACAATAGAAGTGTCATGTTAGCAGTAGTATTTAAAAAATGCTAATGCTTAGGCATTAGTATTAACCAGTAGTTCCAATGCTTTAGGGTTATTGGCATTAGATTCTATTAATGTCAAGGTGTTAGCATTAAATTAGCATTACTTTTAACTCTAATACGCAGTTTCCCAAAGGTGTGAGTAAGAGTGGGTGTAAGCGTGGGTGGGACTGTGGGTGTGGATGTGACGTGTGGGAAGAGAGTGTGAAGAGGAATCACTCACAAGCGCACCCACACCTACATTTACCCTCGCCCAACACTCTACTTTGACGTTCAATATTCTCGCAAAGGTTTTGTTCCCTAATAAAATTACCCAGCCAACTTCAATTTTTTGACATCATACATTTGATCGACGCAGTCGATCGAATGGCTCGTGTTGACGCCTATTTATTGAAAACAATGCATATTTCTCTTGCCAATGTAAACAATCAGTAACGACTATTTGCAATCAATATTGTAAATACTGAAGAGAAAAAGGTGGAAGATTCTCTGAATTATGGGAAAAATGCATTATTTACCATCAGCAAGATGAAATATGTGTTGCGCAATCGTCTTGAAATGATTGATACTCACATCAACAAGTTTTACTTGTTTCATACTACTCATTTTGAAAAGTCATTTACTCTTATGTGTATGATAAACCCAGTACTTCTTTCTTTGTTCACTCATTGTTATGTACTACTTACCGCAATCAGCAAGCAAAAACAAATGAAGAAAATTACGAACACATTTTTTTTTCGGTTTTGTTTATTACCTTTTTCTTCGTGGAAATGAGTAGTTGCCGCCGTCTGGCGTTTGCTTTATACTTCTGTCATAAGTAAATAGTTGTTTTTTACCTTTTTCTTTCTTTTTTGTCAGTTATTTACAACAGCGCACATACACACTATCAGCAATAGATGCACATGGCAAAAATAAAACAGTGAAGCAGAGAAATTGAACAACGAATCAACTTGAGGTACCAAACGAAGAGGTTAGACAAAAATAAGAAATTTATTGAACTAACAGATACAAAAACAATTCCGTATTTTTTGACAAGTGACTTTGCTAATACGCCATACCTCACGACAGATGGCGACTTTCTATGTCGGCTTCTAAATGTGTAGAGTGTTGTCATGGATCTAGTCT